TCCCCAAGGCAGCCAATTTGTCTTCTATTACTTTTGTGGGTTCCTTCTACCCTCAAGCCTAACCCTAGTCTTAGCACAGCGACTAAATGACCTCCTCAGAAAATCCCAGCTCACCTGAGGCCTTGCCCGGCATCTGAGGAATGTTCTTTGATGCCGAGAGTAACCCTGACCAACCCTGCAGAAGTGCTGCAGGTCCCTGAGTGCTGTTTGCCTGGAGATGTCTGCCTGGCTGTCACCCATGCAAACATGTCCCCCCAGCAGCATGATTGTGCCTCCTTCTGCCACCCAGCATCAGCATCAGTGGGAGGGGAGCGCATCTTTTTTACCTCTAGTTAACCAAAGTAATTTTTTTTTCTCTTTATAACCTATTCTTTCAGACAGACTGGAAATAACAAATTTTTTTTTTTTTCTGCTCAGGATGATGCTTCACCAAAGTAGGTTTAAGTTCCATCCGTTCAGATTTTATGCATTTTTATTCATTTAAAAAGGGATTGTTCAGGGGAAAGAAATTATTTTCAACAATTTCAGGACTGGTGGAGACTGGCTGTTTCACAATAGCAAACAATACAATCAGTATCTGCCAGTGGATGTTCTCCGTAAACACGTCCTTCCCTGTTCTGGTGAACAAGTCCCTGTGTCTTGTCACTCCACTCCTCTTGCCCATAAGAATCATAAGTGTCTTCACAGAGTCTGAGCCCGTAACATAGTAATCAGCACAACTTAGGGCTGGGGTGCTATAGCTGTTACCACAGGAATCGCAACTCTGTTCATCATAAGGAGTACCATCTCCATCCTCATAGTCATATTGTCCTTATTTCTCTTATGTTGGGGGTGGTGGTGGAGATCTGTACCCAGTTGGGGAGACTCCTCTTGATCTGGGAGTGAGAAGACCTCTTTTTGCAACTCACTGGACTTGGAGTGGAAAGGCTTCTCCTAGGAGTAGGTGTCCCTCTTGGTACACCAAGTCCAACCAGCTGGGCTGTGACTTCTCCCCTTCCTCTGGTAATTACTGGGGTTGGTACAGCTTTTGTATCCAAGGCGGGTTCCCCTCCAACCACTGTAAGATCTGCATTTTCTGAACCACTGTTTAAATGTATTAATTCCTGGAGCTGTACTTGCCTGACCTCATCATTATAGTCAGGGATGAGAAACCTGAGTTTTCCCAAAACCTGTGTCATCCAGGTGTAAGTTTTTGTAGATGCTTCAATGACAGAACATGGAGATGGAAGTACTTTGAAGTACTTTGCTTCTCCACTTTTCCTCAAATCTTCTTCCTTCAACCTTGTCTCTCATGGAACCTTTTGCAAGGATGGATATTTTTGTCAAAGTTTCTTGTAAACGCTTTAGAAACTTGCCATGTGGACCCAAAAGTTTCCCCACAAAGCTGAATTTAGGAAACTGTTTTACAGGAATTAACACTGTGTCCCAGCATCATGTTCTTGTTAATCACCACCTCAGTGTACTTTTGTTCACCTTTGCTTTCACCGTTTTGACACGAGCCACAGGGCACGCTTGAAGGAGGGGTCCAGGGGAGTCCTTCTGGCCATTAGCTATGGCAGGCACTTCTCTAAGCTCACTGGGTGTCCAAAGCTCAGACTGCAAGGGAGCGGGCAGCAGGGGCTCAGCAACCTCTGAGCCCCCCACGCCAGTAGCAGAGAGACGGGCCACGTGCCATAGAAGCGGCCAAGCCTGCTGGACAGCCAGGCAGGTGCGGCTGCACAGAGGCAAGGAGGGGGTTGGGCTGCTCAGCCTCGATCCCCAGTGGCAGCAGAGGGCCCAGCGCTGGAGGACCCCGGCTATGGACGCAGGTCGAGGAGAGGAGCAGACGCTGGCTGTGCGTTCAGTCGGGCTGCTGGCCCATAGGCCCGGTGGGCGGCGCGCTCGGGGACGCTGAGGCAGCACAGGGCAAGCCCAGGCAGCCCGCGCAGGTGCACGACACGTGGGCAGTGGGGACTGAGCAGTCCTGACACACCGCCCGCCCAGAGGAACCTGTTGCGACGGTTTTTCCGTTGACAGTTGTGCACATGCGCAGTGACGTCACATTCTGATGCGCGCCCGTGCACTTGCTTTAACGGTGCTGCTTGGCTGTGCTTGGTGCTGCTTGGCTCTGCCTGGCGATTTATTCTTATCAGTCATTGGAAACTGGGATTTTCCTTGAAAAGGAAAAGGCAGTGTTGGTCAGATCGGGTTGTCTTGATTGCACTGGACTCCCGAGGTGGGAAATAAGCAGTGGGGTGTGAGCTGCGGTTCCTCCGAAGCCGACAGCCGCCACCATGAAGAAGATCTTCTGCTTCGGGGGAGACAAGGGTGGGCCGCCCTCCGGCCCCTGCACCAGCCACGGCAAGACCAGGGTGGCCCCGGAAGGCGAGGCTGGTGACAGCGCCTTTCTACAGCCATGGTACCACATCCGGGAAAAAGATCTTGGCAAAATTCAGCAAGCTGCCATGGCTGGTGACGTAGCGAAAGTGGAGCGGATCCTTTCGCTGAAGACAGAGGCCTTGGATGGCAGAGACAGAAAGAAGAGGTAATGGAAACAGCCATCCCAGGCCTGGGTGCCGGGCGGGTGTTGGGGAAATGCCCTTCCCAGACTGGCGGGAGTCCGGAGTCGGGTCAGCGCGGGCGCCCGGCTGTCCTCCCTGCAGGCTCCGCAGCACCTGGGACGTGGAAACCTTGGAGGGGTCCAGCGCCAAGGCCATCTGTATGGGCAGCAACACACAAAAAAAACTTCAGGTGGTTCCCCGTCCACTCATGATTCCCCTTCTAGGACGCTTTCTTGCCAATTTTAGCTGTTTAACTAACACAAGTATATACGGTGTTTTATTTTAAATGTACACATTTTAAAACATTATGTTATATACATTATACAAAGGTACATAATGAGAGTAATAATTCACATGATGTATCAAATTCTGGGCCAAACATCTTTGCATGAAATTCAATATCCATTTTATGTGGATGTACACCTATGTAATGTGTCCTTTACTCAGGGAACTCAGAAGGAAACTTTGAAGTGCGTATATGGTATCATAGTCTTCAATAGGAAGACTCGTTTTTCTGAAAATGAGCTCTTTCTATATTTATCAATTTTACATAAGCCAAATAAAAGTATGAAGGTTTTCAAATTTTTGAGTTACACGTGATGTCTCTCTTTTACTATCGTGATGACATGAAGAAAATTTTTGTAATGGAGTGAAAAAGACTTGCTCTTCTAGATTTCAAAATGTGCTATTAATTTCCACAAATTAATCATTTATTAACAGTTGAAGAGACAAATAAATGAATGGAACAGAATAGAAAATCCAGAAACACCCGAATATAGGAAAGAATTTAGAAGTTGATAATGGTGACAAATCAAACAAGAAAAAAACTGATAATTTAAAATTGGGCAAAGTACATTTTTTACAGATGTGTTTATCAATGAGATAATTTTTAAATGCTGCCCATTATTGTTGAAATAAGTCATGAATAAAAAGTACCATTCCAGTATCAGTGATGTTAAAATGTGAGAAAATGAGCACCCTAGCATCATTGAAATACAATGCTATCTCTAGTGTTGAAAAAAAAAGTAGTTATAATTGTATCATTTTACTTAATTAAAATGTCTTTGTTTAATAGTAGTAATAATTATATTATCTAATGATCATTGAGCTATTATTTGCATTAGGAACTGTTCAAAATACTTTGTACGGATTCTCATTTAAGCATCATAGTGATGTCCTATGAGATAGCTACAATTTTTTTTTTTGCCTATTTTATTGAAGAGGAAATTGAGGCACAGAAAAGGCCAGGCGATAGCTAGTAGTTGATAGAGCTTAAAGTAGGATGCAAACCCAAGCTCAACTGACTCCCAAAGCCAAGCTCTTTCTATTCAAATAGGCTGCTTTTTTATTTATGTAGTGAGGAATAGGAGCTAATAAATATTGTACTTTCTTCACAAGAAAATTAAATATTTGTATTGAAGGTGGAGGAATAACATGCTGTTTAATATTTACAATTACCTGAATCACTGTATATTCTAGGATAGTGCAATTTCCTAAAAATACCGCTCACTTTCATAGGACTGCTCTCCATTTGGTCTGTGCCTGTGGCCATCCAGAAGTAGTTACTATCCTGGTGGACAGAAAATGCCAGCTTAATGTCCCCGACAGTGAAGAGAGGACAGCTCTGATTAAGGTATGTAGCAGCCATCTATTTCAGTAAGAGACGGATATGATTTCAATACACAGAATAAGTTTATTTGATATAAACATAACTAGTTGGTGGAATCTGTGGAATGTTTCTTTTGAATTCCTAGAATTAATGATGTATTTCTTGATCTGATACTGATAGGCAGTACAATGCCAGGAAGAGGAGTGTGCCACCATCCTGTTAGAACATTGTGCGGATCCAAATCACAGTGACACCTATGGCAACACAGCTCTTCACTATGCTGTCTATCATGAGAACACATCGATGACAGAAAAACTCCTCTCACATGGTGCAAATATAGAAGCAATAAACAAGGTATAGATCAACCAACTTTATTGTCAAAATATTGAACATTGACATACGTAACCATCAATTTTCCATATTTGGAAGCGCAAATATTCCCTGAATGAAAATAGTTTGAAATAACTTAATTGTCTAAGATGTTACTTTAAATATTTAAACATTTAAAGAAGCATTGGAGGATGCAGCTTTCTTTTATACCTTCATGTTTATACCTTCATGGTGAAAACCCTGCATTTGTTAAAGGAAAACTTGTTTTTTCAAGTTTTTTTCCAAACAAGTGTGTTTGTTT